ACCTCGACACCAGACTGCAAACGTCTCCATCAGAAATGTGATCATGTTTTGAGGTGTATTTGAAACAAGTGAACATAAACAGGAAGACAAGACGGTTTGACTTCTTTCAGAACAATTTCACTTGTTAAAAATTTTGACAGAAGCCGTTTTAGACACATGCGAAACTACATCCATGAAGAGGAAAAACGCAGAGTCCAAAAATAACCGATAATTTCTAATAATGTTAAGTAATTATAAGCATTTTTTGATTAACCTCATGGGTTTATTCTGGCCCCCTATCAAATATTTCATGTCCCACCACTGGCCTGCTGCCCAGGGGTTAGTAACCTGTGTTTTAGTCCATCCAGACACAGCTAAATGATGTTCTGCAAATATTTTGAAACTTCAGTTACTTTCCCAGCCCTCATTACCATTTGGCTCTTCCTGGTGGACTGAACGGTGCTGCATCATGTGGCACTTAAGGTTTTATGGCTGACTAAAGGTTGAACTTCTTGCTTTGCAGTAACAACACTGTAGAGCAGACAGGATGTCAGGGCTCATTTTATCAACCCACTTACTTAATGTAGGTGAGAGCGTTGCCTTCTGGGAAGTCGTACGGGTGTCGTTTCCTGAACACATGACCCACACGGCTACAGGGAAGAATCTCCAGGCTTCCTCCACATAACCACACCCGGAAAGAGAGTTCTGCAGGAGAACATACGCGCTGATGAGGCCAAGAATGTAGCTGTCTGAAGTGGTGTCTGTCTGTCTGTGGGTCTGTGAACCTGTCTCTCTCTGAACTACAGTCTGATCTAATCATCACAACACTGGCCTGACCGGGTTCACCGGCTACATTTTTCATGCAGCAGATGGCTATAACTTGTAAATCAGCAGTAAGAAAGCTGTTGTAGCTGATAATTTAACGCTCTGCAGCATCGCAAATCTCAGGGACATGTTTCGCATTAAGGAGCGCATGCTGCTGAACATGCTGATAAACCTCTGCAGCATCGAAAAGCATCTGCAGTCATCTCGAGCCAGGCGGGCCTCGACATGACTAAACACATGGAACTATAACATCCAGTGTAGCTGTTATGTTTAATTTCATGACAGTCTTTTTTCACTGGAATCGGGGTGACAAATAAGCAGCCTTCCCTATGTTGCTGCAAACATTTTTGCAAATAAAACATTTTTGTTCCAAAACCCTGCAAACACTGGACTCTTCATTAGTATACAGTGTGTACACTAGTCTCTAATGGGGTGAATCCACTGGCCCTCACTGAGTTTAAATTACATACAGGCATTTGGTTCAATATTCCTATTCAATTTTTAGATTGTAAAGTAAGCGTATAATTTATCCCCCCCCCCCCCAACAACCCTTTTGGGGGGGTCATTTCATATTAAAATTCAGTGTAATAGCCTTTTAGAAAATGCCAAAGTATAATAATATGCTCACTGGAACTATAAGGATCATTAATCTCTATCAGATACAAACAAACTAGGAATATTAACGTTTTTACATTTTATGTCTGAACTTTAACAGCAAAGCAGAGCAAAGCCTGGTTTTGTGCACTTGTTTAGACATTTTGAGGAGGACGTCTGTGGAGGATGATTAATAAAAAGCAATTATTCTGATTCCAGTATAAATTCAGAGAGTTTCATCAGCGAGCTCACCAAAGTTCTCCCCTCCCCAGATGTCCATGTGGGTGTCGTACTGGCCCAGGTGGTTGAACCAGCTTTTGTCCATGACAAAAATCCCACCAGCGATGACAGGAGTCCTGCACAGTGGGGAGGAAAGGAGTCATGTACATTCCTGCACCTACAGTGGTGTGAAAAAGTGTTTGCCCCCTTACTGATTTCTTATCTTTTTGCATGTTTGTCACACTGTAATGTTTCAGATCGTCAAACAAATTTATATATTAGTCAAAGATAACACAAGTAAACACATCATGCAGTTTTTAAATGAAGGTTTTTATTATTAAGGGAAAACAAAATCCAAAACTATAGATCCCTGTGTGAACAAGTGTTTGCCCCCCTGTCAAAACACTGGTTTATCGCACCTGAGTTCAATTTCTCTTGCCACACCTGTTCGCAATCAAGAAATCACTTAAATAGGACCTGCCTGACAAAGTGAAGTAGACCAAAAGATCCTCAAAAGCTAGACATCATGCCGAGATCCAAAGAAATTCAAAAACAAATGAGAAAGAGAATAATGGAGCTCTATCAGTCCGGAAAAGGTTATAAAGCCATTTCTAAAGCTTGGGGACTGCAGAAACTTACAGTGGTGTGAAAACGTGTTTGCCCCCTTACTGATTTCTTATCTTTTTGCATGTTTGTCATACTGTAATGTTTCAGATCATCAAACAAATTTAAATATTAGTCAACGATAACACAAGTAAACACATCATGCAGTTTTTAAATGAAGGTTTTTATTATTAAGGGAAAACAAAATCCAAAACTACAAAGCCCTGTGTGAATAAGTGTTTGCCCCCTAAACCTAATAACTGGTTGGGCCACCCTTAGCAGCAACAACTGCAATCAAGCGTTTTCGATAACTTGCCATGAGTCTTTTACAGCGCTGTGGAGGAATTTTGGCCCACTCATCTTTGCAGAATTGTTGTAAGTCAGCCACATTGGAGGGTTTTCGGGCATGAACTGCCTTTTTAAGGTCATGCCACAGCATCTCAATTGGATTCAGGTCAGGACTTTGACTAGGCCACTCCAAAGTCTTCATTTTGTTTTTCTTCAGCCATTCAGAAGTGGACTTGCTGGTGTGCTTTGGATCATTGTCCTGCTGCAGAACCCAAGTTCGCTTCAGCTTGAGGTCACAAACGGATGGCCGGACATTCTCCTTCAGGATATTTTGGTACACAGCAGAATTCATGGTTCCATTTATCACAGCAAGTCTTCCAGGGCCTGAAGCAGCAAAACAGCCCCAGACCATCACACTACCACCACCATATTTTACTGTTGGTATGATGTTCTTTTTCTGAAATGCGGTGTTACTTTTACGCCACACATAATGGGACACACACCTTCCAAAAAGTTCAACTTTTGTCTCGTCTGTCCACAGAGTATTATCCCAAAAGTCTTGGGGATCATCAAGATGTTTTCTGGCAAAACTGAGACGAGCCTTTATGTTCTTTTTGCTCAGCAGTGGTTTTCGTCTTGGAACTCTGCCATGCAAACCATTTTTGCTCAGTCTCTTTCTTATGGTGGAGTCATGAACACTCACCTTAACTGAGGCAAGTGAGGCCTGCAGTTCTTTGGATGTTGTTGTGGGGTCTTTTGTGACCTCTTGGATGAGTTGTCGCTGTGCTCTTGGGGTAATTTTGGTCGGCCGGCCACTCCTGGGAAGGTTCTCCACTGTTCCATGTTTTCGCCATTTGTGGATAATGGCTCTCACTGTGGTTCGCTGCAGTCCCAAAGCTTTAGAAATGGCTTTATAACCTTTTCCGGACTGATAGAGCTCCATTATTCTCTTTCTCATTTGTTTTTGAATTTCTTTGGATCTCGGCATGATGTCTAGCTTTTGATGATCTTTTGGTCTACTTCACTTTGTCAGGCAGGTCCTATTTAAGTGATTTCTTGATTGCGAACAGGTGTGGCAGTAATCAGGCCTGGGTGTGGCTAGAGAAATTGAACTCAGGTGCGATAAAACAGTGTTTTGACAGGGGGGCAAACACTTGTTCACACAGGGATCTATAGTTTTGGATTTTGTTTTCCCTTAATAATAAAAACCTTCATTTAAAAACTGCATGATGTGTTTACTTGTGTTATCTTTGACTAATATATAAATTTGTTTGACGATCTGAAACATTACAGTGTGACAAACATGCAAAAAGATAAGAAATCAGTAAGGGGGCAAACCCTTTTTCACACCACTGTAATTCACTCTTATTTAGAAAGCCAGTTTGTTACTAATGGAGGAAAATATGTTATCATCAAATGAGCTTTGGAAAGGTTTTTCAAGCTTTTGAATTCCACAGGCCTTAGACTTTACATTATAAAGGCACCAAAGTGGAGCTGTTGTCATGGGAAAACAACAAATCAAAGTAACTGAGCATAAACTCCTATGTTGTCACCTTTATTTGCCATTTGCCATTATTTGTGGTACAATTCCACAGGTTCAGAGCGCCCCAGGCCACAGGTACTACAGTATGTCTTAGCTGAACTGTACATATATGTTTGAGGATATGTACCACAAAAGCATAATATCAACTAATCTAATAGGGGCTTTGAGGTGGGTCCTGCTTTTATAGCAGCTGGGGAAGCTTAGTCTAAATCCAGTTCTTTGACCTTATTATTGCAGTTTTGTGCTAATATGTTGCATATTTCTAAAATATTCTGAGTTTCATCACATTACCATTCTACAAACTGGGAGCCAGTTTGACTTTTTTATGTTAAAATACTAACAGTAAACAGGGAGACAGAAGAACATGCAGGGAGTCACAGCCCAGCTGTAGTCAGGTACAGCCTGGCAGCAGACTGTTTCCCCTTTAAGCCATGTTGTTTTAACATGTGCCACAACAGTATATTTTGCAGTACATCAATGCATGGTCATGATATTTCATACCTATACGTAGTATATGTATACATACAGTATGTGCCATAGTACTGGGGATCAATACTGTGGCACTATGCTTCTGTACCCCATAAAGGAAGAGGACTGAGGGCAATGTAGACACACCTGATTGGCTGTGTGGGGTCACTTCTCGCCAGTTTCTGCTCAATGGGAATCTGCTCCCATTTGAAGTGAAGGCTCCAGTCAAATCCTGACAAAAAGACAACAGGAGAGAGAGGAAGTTAAATCAGGCAAATGACTTTGAATTAAATTAATTACATTTAATTTACACCCACTTTGTGGAGACATTAGACCTCAGGCAGCTAAGAAGACAGTTATGAGTGTCCTGCTGATTGTGGCCAAACAAGTTTGTTGATTTCACCTTATGGGTTCTATTTCCTGCCAACACAGAGCCGACGTAGCTTCAGATGCAGTTTTTACACAGTTTTTCTTGTCTATTTTCTGCTGTGTTTGGTATTTTCCTGCCATGAATGACTATGTGCACGCTGAGGTTACGGTGGACATTTTAACCCGAAGTTGAGTTTGCTACTCCGACTATTGCAAATAAAGGTTAATGGCAAATTTCATAACAGCAATCAAGGCTAGGAGCGACAAATATATTTTTAATGTGTTTTTGTAGTGTATTTCAACAGCCACACCAACTTAAAATAAACCCTTAAATCCACAACTGATCTGCCAGAATTCACTGTGTAAAGTATATTGTGAAATTGTCTGAATCATAAAATGTGTGGCAATTTAAAAAGATTATTTTCAAATAAGATACACAAACTCAGTATGTGACTAGATATGAATATGGTGTGAGTTGGCGTGCACCAGGACAAACCATCTGTCCTTAAGCTGTGAGTAAATAACACTGGTGACAGGACCAGAGTTGTTCTCTCTTCCATGCACAAAAGCTGGTCAGTCATATTAGCAGAGTGAATATTTATTTGCAGTACTTGTACAATAAATAGTTTTCTCTTCAGGAATGGAGTACGTAACTGGTAGGAGAAAAAGATGTGGGGGAAGAATGTGTCCTCGCTACATACAGTATGTCCATAGATGTGGTGACTGCACCTCACGGACATTAGATCGGTTTCCTGATGTGAAAGCTTTGACTGAGCCGCTCCAGAGTAGCCATCAGTGACATCAGTCAAAGTCAGGTGCCTTTAAAGGAGGTGGCAGGAGCTGGTCTGATTGGCCACAACTCCAGTTACTCATAATGTACTGTATTTTTCCCATTAATAATTCAGCCTCTCTCTCATGTTGAAGCTGCAAAAGAAATTGTTTACACTCATGCTGGGCTCTGGGCCCTATTTCAGAAAAAAGAAAGGGCCTGCTATTCACTCCAATCATAGTAACAAGCTTGATTCATGGTTGTTGAATTGTTCTGACAGAGACCGTGATGTCATATAACGGGGGCTTTCCCTGGCTGCAGCTGCATGTTGTCAACTGTAACTGTGCGTGATCTGTGTTGTCCTGACCTCCTCTCAAATCAGCAGAGGCAGCCAAGTAGGCAAAGTTATCCAGGCTGATGACATCGATGATGGGGCTGACCACTCGAGTGTGGTCCTGCATGGGAAGAGAAAGACAGGCATTATCACTGACACAGCTTTTAGATGTGATTGGACATTTTATATTTGAACTAAGTCAGCAGAGAGACAGACAAAATATGGGGAGAGGGTTATTTTTATTATTCTTATTTTTTTATCTCAGTAGTTTATGTCCAGGAAGCATGAATGAAGACTTCTCAGTTAAGGTTTTGTAGTTGTTCCGCTTAAATTCTCAATTGTATGTGCTTTTATGAGGTCTGTCACTTTTTATCTTTGTGTTCATGTTTTTAGATTAATTTATTTCCTTTTTCTTCCCTTAAGGTTTTTAAAAATTCAGCCATCAAGCTAACACACCCTGTCGCTCTTTCAGTTAAGGAATGTGATTTGCCTAAAACCACAATACTGTATATCAAACTTACTAAAGTGTCGATATCCAGTTGAGTGGTACAGTATGTACGTGTACTTATTTGATTGGTTATCTTTTTAAAATTCTCTTTGCCGTGTTTTTTTTTTTTTTTGATGACCCCAATAAATCCGACAAGCTGATATGCGTTGATCTGACTGTAAAGATATTTTGACACTGCGAGTTTTGACAGACTGATCAATTAATAGCACATAATTTCCAGATCTCTAATTTCAGCCGATGTAGTCTTTCAAAACTGAAATATTGCAAAATAAACTCAGTGAACTCATCCACTGTGTCTTGCACTGGATGGAAATAATAATGTATGTACATGACTCAGTGTCTTTTACTCATTAGCCTTTGAATTCCTTACAGGATTGTACATCTGACATGCAACATCTGGCTAAGCTAATAGAGAGGAATGTGTACCTAAAGCACACAGCTGGAACATTTAATGAAATATTCAGGGTCAAGTGAAAATTCAGCAAAATAGTTACGTTTTCTTTGTGAGGATCAAGAAAATAAATCACAGGTATGGCATTAATGATTATTAAATATTAGCTCATGCTCTATGGAGAATTAGTCACCCAGTGGAATATGTGACTAACAGACAGGTTTGATGATGACCTGACTGACTCTAATGATCACTGGAACAGCATACATTACTTTTTGTTAAAGAAAACGCCTGAAGAGTAATGAAAAAGGAATGCCCAGAACATAAGCAATACTGAATGTGCCAAACATCCCCACCCAGAGCTCATGAATTCATAAGAAACGAGCTCTGAATCCCACTGGAGACATAACATGAGCCCAAACCTAAACACAGCAGAGGAACAGCTGATCGCTAAGAGTTTGCGTGGCCATGTGGGAGCGCTGTCTACATCTGTGTGCGACTGTGCGTCTATGCCAGCACTGCCATTTACCCACAAAGCATCTGTGTGTGTGTGTTCGGGTACTTGGGCACTTGAACAGCTTAGCTTCGGGATAATCCAAATGAATGTTTCCAATTACAGCCATCCATTTCTTTACTCAGAATTCAAACCCATCATGAGCACCACAGAGTGTTGGGGATGACATTGCCAGAGAGCAAATTGGAAAGTGATGCACTCAACAGCTTTAAGCAATAGACATTTATTTGGTTTTTAATGAGCCTCTGTGATTTGGTAACGCACAAAGACGCTGCGCTTCCAAAATGCAACATGCCACTGGTGATGTCTCACTGTCACTGTTGTGCTTTGTTTTTGTCTATGAATTTATGAAAATGTTGGTTTACTGGGATTTGTAGCTAACATCTGGCTGCTTTAAATATCACTGATAAGCAAATTTAAATGTGTTTTTCTATGCAAAACACATTACATGGCTTTTGGAAATCAATAAAATGACTTAGATGAAGACTGGAATAAAAAAGGGAAGCTGAAAACTGAATAAAACGCTTTATCTTCCATAAATGAAAATGTGTTCTGTGCACAATGTATTTCACAGTTTTCATACACCAGTTGATGGTGTTGAGAACACTATTCCTTTACTTCATCACTCAGTAATGTCACATCAGTGTCTGAGTAGCAGACCAACAGCGGACACACTGTCCAGCTGAGGCTAAAGGCCAAAGGTCAGATTACTAATGACTACTGTACATCCTTATTACGCATTCACTGGAGACATTTAGTGATGTGGTACAGGTCAGACTGTCCATGATTCCACCTTAATATGATTTGCTTAGTGGAACGTTAGTGCTTTGTATCACATTAGCAGTAACAAGAGAGTTTTGCTGGATTGACAAATTTACTCGTTAGTCAGCTAACGCTAACTTTGGAGCGGAGGCTGCAGTTTGATGCAACCAAACATCCGTAGTTTACACTGTTGCTAGGAAACAGGATGCGATGAGAGGGGCAAAGAGCGGTCAGGAGCGGCTTATGGTGTCAGTTAGGTTTGAGTCTGAAAAGAAATTAGGGAGAGTGGCTTTAATTACTAATTAAAGCTGTTTCAATTTCTGTTTAAGTGAAACAAAAAGCATAAATAATATGTTGGATTAAAGAACATTCTGCACAGTGATCTTCCCTTAGTATTCCTGCACTCAGGGGCTTTATGAATGCAGGGATGTGGTCTCAGGAAGATTAATGAATCCAGGACCGGGTGCAGCCAGGCCAAGGAGCTGGGGAATTATTACTGAGCCCAGTGCTCTCATGAATGCAAGACTAAAAGATTTTGATGTAAACCGGATGAGTCACAGCTGCCCAGAGCCAAGGATGAGTGTTTGGACACACAAACACAATGTGACTACACTCGCAATGTGTCTTCTGAATAAAATAGTAAGAGTTGCACACAGTTAAGATTTTAGAATATGTGGTTTGAATATAAGTTTTTGTTGATGGGCTAACATCTGGTGTTCTTTCTGAACAAAATAAAATTTCCCAAAATGCTGAACTATGCTTTTAATTACATGGCAATGTTGTGTCTAGTATTTTCTGCACATTGACAGGACTACACACCTGGATGCTAGACACTAAGCAGTTGCTAAAAAGCAGATGAGGAAGAAAACAAAAACTAGAGAAAGCTCAGTGTCTGTGAATAAATGGTGATTTGAATATAACATGGTGAATCACCGCAGTGCTTCGTGAAACCAGAGGGGAAAAGAAGAAATGAGGCGACGCGCTGGAGGCTGCTCTGTCTGAGAGCTAGTGGAACACACAGAGGAGAAATATGAAGTGAAACAGCTCCTGCTACAGTCAGTGAAAATGTTGGTTTTTGACGGGGAATGGCAGCGGATTCAGGGAGCAGGTGTGCTGGTTAGAGCCCAGTCTCAGGTTAGTAATACCAGGGGAGGGAAGAGGGAGCCAGCAAACAGCCTATTACTCATTGGTAAATGATGGCCTCTCGCGTAGTTACTTCTCTCTTCATCAAAATGCCAGACATTCATGTCTCAGTAAGTGCACACGTTCATCTCTGCAGATGTCTCTAAATGCATGCATTTACATACTGCGTGCACTTCACTTGAATGACTTGGAAATGATGGTTCACATAGACCTACCGGTGAAATTAAAATGGCAGAAGAAAACTGGAGAGCGGATAGTTTTGCTTTTCATCCCCCTCACACTGTTGTTTTAAATTGCAAAAAGCATTCATGTGTGGATGTGATGGAAGTGTCCCTGTGGGCTGCATAATGTAATCTGTAGGATGTGGTGAATAAGGAGAATCTGCACAAAAGTGCTTGTGAGTGTTTTTGATGATAAAAGAACTCAGCATGCAACTGCAACAACACAAAAGAGACCAACTGTCAGGAGAATGGCACCATACTTTTTCCAGCGGTGGCAGAGCAGAGGGCAACATCTGTTATAGTACGGATTAAATTTTGGCAGAACAAAAGGAGTGTTTATTTAACAGTGCCGACATGTTACATCATAGTCAATAAAACCTACCCTGAAAAGGAGCAAAATCCCCTGAAGCGTTGCATCACAGCAATGTTTCAGCTCCAAAATACTTGGGTTGTGACTCTGTGTGTGTGTGTGTGTGCGTGTGAGAGAGAGCTGCATGTATTAAGTGTCTAACTGGACAGTGTGAATGACGGCAGGCTGTGAGCCGGTGGGTCTGTACCTCCTTGACTCGCTGGATCATTGGCTGCAGCCAGTCTGCGTTGACTTCACAGTGGCTATCCAAGAAGGTCAAGATGGAGGCCAAGGCTGAGTTGGCTCCTCGCACACGTGATCGGATCAGACCTGAAGGAAACACAAGGCAGTTGTGACAGTGACCTTTGAACCCAGCCCAACATCTAAAGCTTCATTTGATGCTGCTTCATTGTGCATGTGTCATTGTTGGTGCCTAATGCAGTAAATGTGCTGCTAAAGCACAGTGTGGGTCACTATTAAAGACGGCGCTCTGCTGATTTAACATGTAAGTCACTTGTCCTAAAAAGAAATGTATACTCCACAAGGTTTCCATGCATTGTTCCCACTCTCCGTTTGTCATACTGATATCCCCACCTCCTCTGCCTTGTCTGCTTCTAATAAATCCATTCTTATTTCTTTGTTTTCCAGCAGCTGCATGTGATCAGATGTGAAGGTGTTGCTTCTGGTTTGCATGTATGGGTGGAGGAAGTGATTATAAAAGTGAAGTTCTTCCAGATGGCTGGTGTTCTGGGATACTACTAAGGCAACTGGTGACAAAAAATGGGTCTTTTCAATAAGAAATTTCACCTTGTTTTATTGTTGAACAGAAGGAAGCTGTTGATCAGTGTTTACAAGTGATGTTTTTAAGTGGCTGAAGACGTCTCTGCTGCAAAACTCCACTTAAACTAGGATTACAGCAACAAATATACAAACAACCCAAACAACACAGTTGACCTAGAAATGCAAGGTGCATCTCCAGTGGTCGTTTTTACAGAGAATCTCATGTGTTTCTGGGATACCGGTACTTATTTAGATTTGACTTGTAATTTGCAAAGATTTCACAGAACAAACATAAAACTGGATTAGTCAGAAGTAGACACTAGAATGTGTCTCAGGTTTTGTCCCAGTAAACACTTTCAATTGCTGGTTGTGTGAAGAAGAAAGTGGCAATTTGGAACTGAGAAACTATTTTAAAGGAGATCAAATGAAGAACAGAATTAGAAGCAGGGAACAGAAGTCTTTCTTGATAAGTGTGGCGACAGTTGAAGTGATTTTCACTCGTCACCAGGATCCAAGGAGGAGGTTAATTGTCTTTTGACTACATTTTGTTTCCTGTAGCATTTACAGTTAATTAAAACGATACAACTCTTCATCATCAACAGTTTTGTTTCAAAGTCAAAGATCATTAAAATAACACAAACCGGTCAAATTGTTTGAAAAGTCAATTGTACTATCTTCACAGAAAACAGCCTGGAGTCTAACTTTAACATGATTAATTGTATCCATTAAGTTTATCTATTTTAGACTTGATGCTTGATGAAGAGGTGGTGTTTCTCAGACTAATTCATTTTTGAACAGCTCACAGCATCAGCAGAGATAATAACACACAGCAAACAATGTGCTGCATGAAGCTTCTCCAAACAAACGCATCTAACTGGGATGAAGAGACTCTGCTCAGTGTTGTAGCCTGGTAGTAAAGGATCACATCGTTTATACATAAAGGCACAGAACACTGCAACACATCCTTACTAGAAATACCGTCTTAAATCGTAGTGAAAGGTGTTCCTTCTCAACCTTTGTTTAACTGGGATGTATGCTTGAATCGAACACTTTCACATTTCTCAGCAGCGAGTGATGCCTGTGGATGGGCCCAAATGTCACAGGGTAAGTTCAGGCACCACTCAGGCATGACCTTATGTCAAACAAATCACTCTTATGTGAAGAAATAATAGTATTTGTGAAGCACCATTCATGCTAATGATACAGGGCAAGGTGATTAACACAAAAAATAAAATAAAACAGGTGAAAATAAACAGGATCACTACATTAAATTAGCAAGAGTTGCCATTCATTTGGAGCCATGTTTCCAGCCAGAAAAAGCTGAAAACAACAATAATGAGAGTGCTGAGAGTGAACTCGTACCTCAAAGCTGCAGGTCAGAAATGTAAAACAATGAACTGACCAACACTAAAATGCTACATAGACCTGAGGGCAGCGAGTGGCCCTTTTCACACACACAGCCAAAAATATTGACTACGCCTTAAACAGTTTGTTGAATTCATTTTCAGTTACAGTCAAATATTTATTGGCAGGGTATTTCACACAGCTGTCACTGTAAGAACAGCTTGTTTCCTCACACTTGTTTGTTGTGACCGTGGGCACGTTTAACGCTCCACTGCTCGATGACCTCGGGCAGCAGTTTGACGCATTAAACAGAGAAAGTCAGTTATGCCTGAAGGTGTGACACCATCAACTAGCTGTGTGAAGTACTGTGAGAATAAAATCTATTTTAGCCATCACAGGACACTTGAAGCTGCATTTCGTGCTGCATCCAGCTAAAAACATCAGTAGTTATTCTACATTTTACCTTTCAAATGTTGACATATAAAACTTTATTTTGTGAGCTGGGCTATGAGTCTACCTTACAATCAAGCTTGAGCTCACTTCAGCTTACGTACTATGGCTGCCAGTCAGGAATCCAAACGCTAATGTTTTGTCAGCATATGGCTCATAAGCCCAGACAAAGCTTTAGCCTGCAGTGAGAGCAGCAATACAGGCAGCAACCTGAATAATCATTGTTAGGCATCCAAAGGAATCGGCAGCACAAGTCCTTCTGGCTTTAGGTTTGGCTCAGCTTTACTGTTTTGTACATTGAAGATTTAAAATCAAAGATTAAATGATTCAATTCTGAAAAACTGGATGGAAACAAACAATTCTTGCATGTTTTTCCATAGTTTGTGGTTTCAACAGGGACAAGATTTACAACTTAGTGTATTTTAACTGCTCACAAACTGTATTCTTTGTCTATTTACGTATTTTATTGGCTTTTTTTTAAATGTGAAACTGTTTAAATTGCCAAAGTCTAGAAAAACAAATAACCCTGACTGGCCTTAATTTTTTTTCTTTAAGATATGTGACACAAAATCTTCATGTTGCTTAAAAAACAAACCATCCACAGCCCCTTGCAGCTCAGTCTCTTTCCCAATAAAATCCTCTGCCTGCCCGCCCCCCCCGTAGCTCCACACTCACCCTCTCTCCTGCCGTTCCTCAAGCAGCGCACTTTGGGGATCTGAGAGAGCAGCTGGCAGTCCTCAGCTGGAGGAAAGCAGAGGAGATGGGACGTTATGGTGGGAGGAGAACACACACTGAGAAAACCATGTCTTCTCATTGCCTTGACTCACACTGTGTCACTCGCACAAACCCACACATATGCCAGAGGGCCACACTAACATGGATTTAGTACACTCAGACACATATAAACACACAAGTACTCAGTTACACCGACACTTTCACCAAAATATTAGTATGAGCTAAACGCATCACATTCAAAGACTGCTGCATTACACTGCTGCAAATAATCAAACACACACACACACACACACACACACACACACACAAGCTACTCTGCACAGCTCTGAGTGTCTGAGTGCTCAAACAAAAGAGTTTTATTTCACTAGATGATTCAATTCAAATCCTCTTTCCATAAACAAATCCAGTCTATTCCTATCATTCACCCCCTTTTTCTTCATGAGCAGTGTCTGGCACACACCTATTGTTGACGTGCACAGCATGCAGACACGGGTACACACACACACAACCTTGAGAAGATTAGCATTAGCAGCAGCGACCAAGTGTGAGCTAGCTAAAGGACTGTGGGTAGATCAAACAGCCAAACACCCCCCCCACCCCAGCAGCGGCACAGCTCACGGAAACAAATATGATCTTTGATTAAATTTGTTGTGTGTACAAACCTGCTTGCTTCCTTATGAGGCGTTGTATCACCAACTAATAATGAATGCCTTTGCCTTCTTTTAATCTACTATAAAAATCTACTTACAGATGAAAATGTGCCTTTTGGCTAATTCTGACGCATCTCCATCTTTGGTGTTAATATGTATAGTCCCTGTCAAATAAACTAATAAAGAAAGAAAACTGATGTCAGTGATACAAAGTTGGAGTGGATGTAATTTGGGCTACACCTTATATAATTTCCTTTAGTACAACACATTGAATTCCATTAATTTCTTTGACCCTAACGACCACTAGTGCACTGTCAGCACAAGCACACACACAGATGTTGTAACATGTTGTATTCTTGTCTCCACATTATTGGAGTCACATACTGTTGTTCGGACTTGCGGTAAAGATTACTGTCCTCGATGGAAGAGGTGTCCTTAATATTACAGCGAGCCTTAACAGGATTACACTGACCAACACCCTCCATCTACCGACAGCTCAGCTCGCACTCCCCATGCCTGTCTGAACTTCACCTGCGCTCTGGACACCGACTAAAGCTCTGTCTTAAATGTTCGGTGTTTTATTGTCCTTGTGGTCTGAAAGATAGAAAATTAAAAAAAACAAAGCTGGCAAACTCACTCGGGCTGCTTCTACAGGAATATTAAAAAAAGTTTCACAAAAGCGTGGAGGAAGAAATGCCAGAGAGAGAGAGAGAGACGTCAAAACCTGGTCAAATAAAACCTAAACTTTTTTTTTTAGTATGAACAGAGAAGAGATGACAGTGTGTTTCTGTTAGAGACATGGGAAGCCTGTTTGTTCTGAAGGTACACACATATTCAGTGCAGACAATATGAAAAGAACAGCAAACCTGGCACCTACGGTTTAAACCAGGATTTGGAAGCGAGGGTTGTGATCCCAAGCTCCCTCTGTGCAACTCCACTCTCCAAAGAAAGTTTTAACAAGCCACCAAAAAAAGTTTTATATTTTTCGCATTTCATTTGTTCCTCTTACTGTTTGTTATTTGGTCTCCATGACGATTTGCAGGCTGTCTCAGAGCCATCGCCACGTTCTTTTTTTCTTGAACTATGTTTAGTGCATTTTATGCTTGCATTAGATGTTGATGGTGGAAACTTAATAGGAGACAAGGAAGAGAGGGCCCCTGCTGGATTTGAACTAATGATGCTGTGATTCATGCTCAGTGTCATGTTCAGCTGCAGCAGGCAGCCACTGGGACGCCCAGCAAGAAGCATTCTATAGGCAAAAAGCTAAATCGGTTCATTTAAATTAGGAGTTATGTTTTACGTTGATATTTCATACGCTTTAGTTATGTTTTCTGGCCAACTAGACAATTTGAGATATTCAGATATTCACTTCACTTTTAGCTCGGCTCTTTGTCTCCACCAGCTCCTGAGGAAAACATCTCTTCAGCTTAATGTATTTATTTCTTTATTTTGCTTAAAACAGCTGCAACTGAAACTGACGCTGCCGCAGTGAGAGGAATTGCAGGAATCCAAAACAATTAGCTGGGAACTGCAGAACTAATTTTCTGTCAATCTAAGTAATTCTCTTACAAGGAGTCATGTGATCTATTGTTAATGTAAAACCATTACATCTGATTTTAGCCACCTGTGTTTAAAACATATCTGAATGAGCCTTCTCTCAACCCCCTTCTCAAATTCCTAGAAACAAACAGAGGACAAAGCTGGTTGCACAGGCTCTAACATAACTGAGACTCACGGTCGGAGCTGAAGTCATCAATCAGGATTATTTCTTGAATCAGAGATGGAGGACTTCGCATCAGGACGCTGAGGGAGAAGGGGAAAGAAACACAGAGGTCACATCAGAAGCATAAGTCAGTGTCATTGTTCCTGTCTAATCATGTGATTTGTGTTCGACTTCACCTCTTGATGGTGCGAAGAAGAGTCGACCGGGCCTCGTTGTGAAACGTGATGATGATACTCGTGGCGGGAAGGTCTGTGTCATAATTCAGAGAGGCACACCTACAGAGAGACGGGGGAGCGGGTGGTGTGTCAAATTGCCTCTGACATCTGGCACACGGTGATGAAATATCTGCTTGGTGAGCACACACAGAGTGGGCAGCCTGTTCTCCAGCTGTGATTAGCAGCTGTGCCCTGCAGAGTCGCCTGAGCATCGCTGATGTAGTGACAGGGAAATATCTGGTTGCTGGTTGCCAGGCAACAGTTGCACAGCTTTGTGACCTTCTGCATTAATCTGTTGCCTGTTGCTGGGAGCTTTAATCCCAGGTTCGAAGACGTCAGGATGAAATATCACACAGCAGTCTGTTATTGATCACCAGCTTTGTCACCATTGACTCAGACTCAGCGATGTGATATGTAAAGTGCTGAAATCTCCACAGAAAGAACTTTAACATTTAAATTGGTTTGTGTACAGTGTTTATGATTCTCCTTTAATAATTCTAGCGTATATTTTTGCTGTAGAAAAATGACACGGTCCTGCAGAAAATTGGTCACAATTGCAAACACAGCTACTGTGTAATCACCCTTAACCTACCTGTAACTAGTTTACCTGAGCTGGTACCTTATGTATTGTCTAATATTCAGTTCTATGTGCAGCCTAAGCTTAAGCTGCGTCCTTGAACTACTACAGATCAAAGTGGACAGACAGCACCTGGGCTGAGGCTCTAATCCTGCTCACCGGTAGTGTCGAGTGTCTCGGATGGCTCGCTCACTGCCCAGTCGGTCGCTCTCCTGCACGTTGAAGGCATGCTCTCTGTACGGGTCATCCCCCGGCTTCAGCTGCTTCCCTGCGAGGTAGGCCTTCTCATCGAAGCTGCCCAGCACCTGGCCCTGCTGCTCGATCTGTGGAGCCTGGGTCACCTGCAGAGGACAAAGCCAGACAGGTCCGGCCCGTGGGTTAGGCAGTATAGGC